ATAATTTAGAGAGACCATAATTAGTAATAATTAATAATTAGGTACTTATACATACAAATATAATAATAAAATACATAGTGGCCGATTAAAAAAACGAAACGATTTATTTTTAAGTACCGTTACAATCTTAATCAAAGTTTTTCGCGTGCATTTTATTTATCTGATTGCAAGAACTAGTTTTCTAATTAACTGAGAAAATGCATAACTGATTTTTTACTGATTAACACGCACCATGACACGCACTGAGGGAAAAATAAATTTAACACGTGTGTAACTTCTACGCTATGTTTTATGTTACAAAAGCCTCGTATAATTTTATTATTTTTAATGGCTATTAAATAAGTTTATGTCATCCACCGAGTCAAATCCCTCAAATGGCAATGGGTAGGAGGGTAGGACACCTGGCAAGAAGAACGGATAACAGATGGATTACAAAAATTACAACATTACAGCATGGTACTCAGGAGGAATTAAGAGACCTAGAGGAAGACCGAACCTGAGATAACACCATAATATTAGGAAATTAGCAGGGATAACTTGGTCCGGCATAGCCAACAATAGACAACAATGGCACAAATTACCTATAACAGATGCGAAAGAAAGCGACTGCATCGGCAACCGCTCGGCAAACCCGACACGCCTATTGAGTGGTGTAAATACACCAGTAGTTTAGTCCGGAAACCTATGCTGTGTCGTAATCGCTTGCTGGAATGACATAGTGCGTGGTTATATGTTTCTTTTTAAAAACGCGTGTACGATTTTTGTTGAACTTTTGAACTGTTATTTCTAAGTTTTGGTAATTTGTATATCTTATTTAAAATGGGATGCAAATGTGTTTATTTATAATACTAAAAATATCTTTTTTTTCCTAATCTCCTACGAGCTGATATAACATGACGAGCAATCTATTAAATTACTGTGAGATTATACAGAAAAGTCCACAGACTTCGAGACATAGGAAAATCAAGTCCATTTAGCGTGTGTCCAAATTTTGACAAGTTTTCAAAAATGACAGTTTTGTTTAGACTGACGTTTAATTTCACCTGATTTCTCGGTGAATGATTTCATTTTATGGGGGTACATAAAATCTAAAATTTACGGCCATGAAGAAATTCAAAACTTGGAGCAGTTAAGGCAGAAAATATTTAATGCCTTTGACACTGTCACCCCTGATATGTTATCCAATGTGAGGAGGGGATTTTATGGTCGTTTGGGTTATTGTTTAATGCGAGAGGGAGGCACTTTTGAACAATTTTTGTAATTTTTTAAATTTCATTATCCTGTTTTTTTACCGTTTACCCATTAACTACCTTGACGAACATGGGAAAACGAAGGTCCTTTTCAGGACCACAAATATTTTGATTGAGAAAATTGGTAACTTTTTTTGGATTAAAAACAAAAGTTGTTAATATAATACCAATTTAAAAGTGTTTAGTAGTTTTAATACACACTATGATATAAAATTTATTATTATTATAATGTACATTATTAATACTATTGTTCATTCGAAATGGTATTAAGGCCCAATTGCAACAATGATTTAAATTTTTCTTAAAGATAAGTAGAGCTTAGAATGAGCTGTATTTATATTTACTTTAATATTCAACTTAAATGAGGGAATTTGACTGATACAGTTTTTGAATTTGAATTGTTTTTAATGATACTAACAATTTTAGTTCAATTTTTAATAAAATTTATTTAATATTACCTCTTTTAGCGATTTATAACATTCTCAAATGAATTACAGGTGCCCTTATTTTCTATGAAAATCACACAGCTTTTTTCATAGTCGCTGCAGTTGCTATAGCTATAAAAAAATAATTTTTTAAGGTGTGAAAATTGCGACACACGCTAAATGGACTTGATTTTTCGTATGTCTCGAAGTCTGTGGACCTTTTTGTATGCCTCGATAACATATTGGTGCAGATTATTTTCACCCAAACAAATAATAACCCAAACTATACATTGATGCGGATTGTCTATGAACTCTTTCTGAAGGTCACAGAAACCTGAACGCGTAATTCGGTGTTCTTTCGCATCTGTTGTAGTTAATTTGTGACAATGGGCCCAACTACAAAGAGAGTATGTAAATATGTGAGGGAGGCTACATCATAATTGGAAATGGTTGAATAAGCTGAAATTGATGATAATGAAGTAAGTTTATTGATTAAATTATAGTCAACAATAATACAATTATTATTTATTGGTCTCTAATATTGTCCATTTTAAGGAGGATATTATAATACTGATTAACTTTAAATAATTAGTTAGCGTATTTGACCAAAAAGATCCACGGAATACCTAACAATATTTTACAACATCGTATCTTTTAAGGTCGTTATATTTAGAGTAACCGAAGCAGTTTACTGTTAGGCAGTCCGCTTCACCAGCGACAAATTTACAATACCGATTACGACCGTGTACCTACTACCAAGTGTTTCATAACGGTTCATTCTGAAAGCGATTCTATGTATAACGAGGCATCTACTGAAGCTCGTACCATGAAAAATATAATTTTCAGTGAAAACGAACTGAAGAGGTTCATTACTCTTTATGGTATTAGTAATATGTGATGGAAATCCTGAATTTATCTTAATTGGCAACGGAAATATTTTTTTGTCCTAATAATGTGTGTGATGGAAATGCTGTACTATTTTTTTATATACATGAGTAAAAGTCTATATCATTGTATTTTTAGGCTAGCGTTGAATATAAATCCACAAGCTTATTTTGTCTTACTTTCTTAAAAACATTGTTTCACAACGCCCAAACACAGATTTCTCAAAAAAACTTGTAATATAAAACTTTAAAATGCAATCAAGGCATAGACAACTATGATGTTGTTCTATGCCTTGATGGCACCTACAGGGTGCTACAAATTCGGGGTACGAGCATTGGTATCTCGGTAACCATAATAGATAGGAACACGGTTAAATTGGGGCAATGTTGCGCTTTAGGATGTTCACCAAGATGCCATCGAAAAAGTTTTAAAAATTTCAAGGATTGATGAGTTTTTAGGAAAAAACGGATTTTCTTGAAAATCAATTTTATTTTTTCCTGTCTTTACTTTTTACACCAAAAAAAATCCCGCATGGGTATTTTTTGTATGGATTCTTTTGGAGAGATGAACCCGCCACATAGGTATAGATAATTTTTACTTTTTAGAAAATCAAAAACTAATTGCACATTCTCATAACAACTGTATTAGGGCTATCTGATTATACGCTGCATGACGTGTCATTTGTAAAAGTGAAATCAAAATATTTCAACATTTATTTACAATAAAGAGTACAAAATGCATTCGGAAGTATAAGAAGATTATGTTCAATGAGCTATAAATAAGATTGAACGAAAAACTAACTGGTGCATTAGGAAGGGCGGTAACCCCTTCGAACATGTAGAGCATTAGAAACTAGTATTGTAGAAGTTGATTTATTTATAATAACTACGATTAATATTATTAGATCGTACACTGATATTTCAAATTCACAATAAAAAAGTTAAACATAATATCTTTAAATTGCTGACCTGGATATTATTTATTTGAATCTTTCAGTTGGCTCGATTGTCCTTATTCAGTGTTAATTAGCACTGATCAATATTGTTGCGATGAATATGAATATAGTCAGATTAAATAATTTAAAAAACCAGGGTCGGACTTATTTTAAATAATAATTAAATAGCTTTGTTATTGTTAAGGTACCCAAAACAAAAAAAAGTATCAAGTGTGGCATATCATTGTACTCAGGAGGTCCGTATTTAAAAAAATTAAGTTGGTTTCTGTATCTCACAAATTATCAGCTAATTTGAAAAACTAAAAACTCTGTGTGATAGCCCTAATAAAGTGGCTATGAGAATGTTTAATTCGTTTTTTGATTTTCAAAAAAGTAACGACAGGAAAAAATAAAATTGATTTTAAAAAAATCCTTTTTTTTTCCAAAAAACTCAGCAATACTTGAAATTTTTAGAACTTTTTTTATGGCATCTTGGTGAACATCCCAAGAAGCAACTTTGTCTTAATTTAACCATTTTCGTATCTATTACGGTTTCCGAGATACCAATGCTCGTACCCCGAATTTGTAGCACCCTGTATATATGTTACGCTTAATAGTCGAATTCAGGCAATGCTCGAAAAAAATACGCAAATCTAGTTTTGAGCAAGGAATATATCCCAAACCCGAAAAACCCACTAACCCATGAATTAACAACCTCCATATAACCACGCTAACCAACTCGCCAAATAACCGAGCAAATAACTAAAGTCCTATAAATATAACCTCCTCCGAAATATTCCTGCTCAAAACTAGATTTGCTTATTTTTCTCGGGCATTGCCCGAATTCGACTATTGAGCGTAATATATATGTTACGGTTAAAGTCCGATGTCCGGTTAATGTCGAAATTAACAGGTTAATGTTTGGGTTAGATTATGTTTTTCGTTGTTTTGTTGTGTGTTATTCTCGATATTAACCGGGTAATGTCGACACCAACCGGACATCGGACCTTAACCGTAACATATACACTCACCGGCAAGAAAAACGAGCAATCGGGTTAAATCGTAATTCCTTCAGCTCGATACTTACAAAGATATGTCTCATGTATTCGCAAACGCAAGTGAATTTCTCGCTGCGCAAGCGTACATGGCGTACATGGCAAATGATACGTTATACCCTTGATTATGTATAAATAGATGTACAATGAGGGCTTAGTACAAGCCCGTCTTCTAGGTGGCGCCTTGCCCGTTCTGAATTTTTGTATTCCCCTACGATTTTCTTTGAGAGGAATCCGTTAAACCCGCCCATCGTTCAAAAATGGACGGGCGCGAGGTCACATCTATTGGGCCACTTATTAGCACGTTTCACCCATGTTTTACGAAAATAGCTTTATCCTTGTTTGTTTCAACTGTGACAAGAAAAAAGGAAAAAAAGTTATATTCGCTTCTAAATTCGGCAGTTTTGTTGATCTTTCTCGACTTGTAATTTCGTTTCGTTTAGGTTATAAAAATAAATATTTATAAGCTTTTGAATTGAAATATACCTTAATGCATATCTGAGTAATTAAAAAATTCAGTTTTTTCGTCCCTCGCGAAGAAACATAAACAGTATTTGTGAAATTTGGATTAGAAACTATTATTTTATTAGTTTATTTTGTTGTGTTTAAGTGTTGTGTATTTGTACCTACTGGATAATATTTTCCAACATATTTAATTAAGCAAAAAGCATCTGTTTTACAGGTAAGTAAATACTGTTCATATTTATTTCTAAATTCATATAAATTTGTTTTAAATCACTCTTGGGAAAAATGTTATAGAGTCTGAGATAAGTTTAATAATAAACATTTGATAGATTGATAGATAGATTAAACGATAATGCCCAGTTTGCTTAAAAGTTTAAAAAAATACTGATTTTATGCTATAAATTGTTTCATTTCTCACTTTGCTTTTTTGGAATTGTCAGATATATTGTGTATTTTATAATTTTTCCGAGAATTTTTCTTAATAACTTGATAACGTAAAATATTTTTTATCTACAGTCAACCCTGTGTTTAGATAAAGCTTCATATCAGATTTCCTATTTTATATTTTCACTCAAATCATATTTTTTGTAAAATATGCTTGCAAAAGTAGCGTAAATTTGACAGGGAGGTATTTTTATAGATATACAGGATGATTCAAATATATATTTACTTTTAAAGTTATTAGTTATGAGCAAAGGTTATGAGTTTGTGAAAAGAAAGGCTATATTTTGTATTTTTGCTTGGTGGATTTGTTATTAAATTGTCATTCCAAAAAATACCATAATTCGTAGTCGTATAGAGTTCATTTTGACCAAAGAATATATTTTGACCCTTTTTGGATTGAATTTTATTGTTTATATAATAAAATATATATTTAAAGCCCTCTCTTTCTAAGTTAAGTTAAAAATAGGTAATATCGACGTTTTTTACTGGAACTAATTTAAGTTAATAATTAATAATTATATAATTCATATAATAATATTAAAATAGACTAAATTGTTTATTATATACAGGATGAGTCAAAACTAGATATTATATTTTTCTTTGCTATTTCAAATGAAACACTGTATTTTATATCATAAATCAACAAAGCTTTTATGCAACTTTTGTTTTATTAAGATCTATATCCCAAATTAATAGTTATTAAATTGTTTTCAATTGTCTCTTTGCGAATAAACATGATTTGTTTTACGCAATTTTTATTAGTAGGTTTGTCGTCAAAAGTGATGTATCTATTTATCAGCGACAAAAATTAAGAATTAGATGTCTAAAATAATTTCCTAATTATTTTTTTACTTGGCATCAGTAAATATGATTTATTTTATCGATGCAGCTGAAAATAATTATCTATTCTAAAAGAGGACATTGCTGTATAAACATCGATTATGGATTTAAAAATTATTTTTCAAAACAAAGTTGGACAAAATTTTTGGAGAAAAAATTGGACTTCTGTTCGAAATAATTGAGAAAAGCCCAACATCTAGTTTTGACGCCCCCAGTATATATCGTGCATTATAGTTGATTATACTGCAATTTATTATACACACGTAGTTTTGTTTGGTGAAAATGAAACTTTCTAAAAGTCATATGTCTAAAAAAATTAGTCTAAAATAATCAAAAACCACTTAACACATATAACTCGCTTTTAAAAAATCTAAAAGAAATAAGTTTGTTTATTATATTCATATTTTATTAAATTATTATAGGTGTGACTGCTAAGTGGTCGTACTCGCCACTAACCAAGCATTGGTGGGACCTTCAGAGATCATAATGCGAATTTCTTCATACCATGTAAATCTATATACATGTATTAATAAATGCGTTTGCTTTATTAAATTTTTTTTCTTATACGGTATGAGCGAAAAAAAACGGCGTCTATTTGTTTACGTACAAATGACATCGATATTCATTTCCAAACCACCTCTGAGGCCGTTTTTTTTTATCGTATGGTATATATTTACATATCCCTTATCCTTTAATTCCGATTTATTTCTAATAATTATAAAAATAAGATACCTGATTAATTCTTCCGAAATATTATAAAATGAGATATCACGAAAGAAATAAAGTTAATTATCTCGTTTGTTTTGGGAATTCCAAAAAAATAAAAAAAAGGGTATAGAGAATCTTTAGAGACACAGTTCAAATGTTATTTTTGAGTATACTGGTTGCTTCAAAAAATGTGGCGGATACATGTTTTTTAATGCAAAACTCCATTTTTATTTTATTTTCGATTCTGCCTAAAATTCTATAACTTTTTTTTATAAATAACGTTAGTAAGTATTTACAATTTAAAAAAAAAGTAAAATTTTATTCCTATGTTACTTAACTGTCAGTTGTTTCCGAAGTTGGACTACACAAATTTGGTAGGAGTGTTTTACAGAGATGAAAAAAAAATATATTTATATGTAAAAATACTTGCAGTTAGATGCTACACTGTGTTCAAACATTTTTTTTGGCTGATCCGATATATATATTATTATTTTTTCTAGTGATTTTACAAAACCTTTCAACATTTGTTAAGAAAGTATATTAAGTACACCTATACTCAACAGCTTGCAATCTGTTCTGAATTTTATCCTTCTTTTAATTCATTTACATTATAACAAGTTGCCATATGACAAAACAAAAATTATTTATTATTAAACATTAAGTAAAGTGATTTATTTAGTTATATGACATTCTTAATAGAAGTTGAAGGATTTTGTAAAATCTATCAGAAAGAATTATAATATATCGGGTGTTTTTCAAAAGTAGCTTGATTGATGTATTCAATTAGTTTCGGTCATTTCTTGTTTCACCGGAAATGACTACAACTTTTGGTTTTTAAATGGTACCGTCGGTATTTTTTTACTTTATTTTGCAGAATATGGCATTCTCAATAGAATAATTCAATGTCAACTTTTGACTCTTTTACTTAAAAAATAGTATTTTAAAGTTCAATCTAGTAGAGTGCCATGATAATAAACAACATGTAACCGGTCGTAAAGATAACGACAGTTTGACTCGACATACGGAGTGTGTGGTACCAAATTATTTACCAAAATTAGGTACCAAAATTTATTAGGTATCAAAAAATGCTTTTCCAAATATGCTAATGAGCCACTCTCGTTTCATTAAAAAAAATTGAGTTATGATTAAAATACGAAATGGGCATATTTCAACTGACCAGGAAAAGACACAAAAAATATTAGACGACCAAATCAATTTTTCCAAAGCTCCTTGATTAATCCTTGATTAAAAAATAATGGTTTTAACACAGCCATGACACTAGATTGAATTTTAAAATGCTATTTTTGATTTAATTGAAAATGTCAAAAGTTGACATATGATTGTTGATGTCAAAAGTTGTCATTCTATTCAGAATGTCATTTTCTATCAAATAAAGTACCGTATGATCGAATAAAAACGGCGTCAGCAATGGCTATGAAATGAAAAGCGCTGTCATTTTATATGTAAATTTATATGAGAAATGTCATCGATGTTCATTTCATAGCCATCGCTGACGCCGTTTTTATTCGATCTTACGGTATAAAAAATACCGAGGGTACCATTTAAAAATCAAATGTATACATTTCCGGTGAAACAGGAAGTGACCGAAACTAACTGAATACGAATCAATCTCGATTTATGTCATATACCTACTAACATTCCCAATTTAGTTTTTTTCTCGGAATCTGAAAAAATAAAAAAGTTATAGAGGTGAACCACTTTAAAAAAAAACACTCAGTATAGGCTGTGTCATTGAAAGAGTCTGCAGATATTTTTTTAATTTTAAATACGTAGAATTAACCATTAATATATGTTGAACACCCTGTAGCCTGCCTTAAACACCCTCTGCCTTAAATATCTACATAGTATCTAATATTTTTTCTTCATCAACAAATTGAAATATTAGAAAACTAGTTTTAGGTTACACCATTATACAAGGATTATACATAAAAAAGTAATAATTTTACGCAGGATCTAAAATAAAATAGCATGTTACATTTAAAAAAAAAACATTATGTTAAATCCGTCATACTTTTTACAAAGTTACAGAGGTAGGTAGGTATAGTTTCATATATTTTTTTAATTATCCATCTAGAAATAAAATATATACATATATACCTAATATAATCATTTAGTATTTAACAAGGGGCCATGAAAATCAAAATAAATATAAATCCATATCCAAAAATAAAAAATGTAAATAACGCTTTGAGGTAAAAATTCGGTTCAAAGCAGATAAGATATTTTATTCTTTACCGAGAATTAAATTCGAAGAATTCCTAGTCCCTACTTCTTTGCCAAATTCAATAGTCTCCGCCCCTTTTTACGTTTTAATTTCTGCCACCAGTTGGCAGCATCGACTTATACAGGCACATTGACTAACTATTAATATATAAACAAGGGTTATACCAAAGAATATACCTAGCTAGAAAAAGCATGGACTCTGCCTTACTGAAAAATGGTCCTACAGAAGTGGTGCCATCTATTGAGTAGGGCTTGTTTTAAATGGATCGAAGCGCGGGCTTTTTAAATGAGCGTATTTATTGAATTTTACTCTAAAATAATTAAATTTGATTATTAAATCTTATTTTTTACACAAATTCAACAATACAATAACAAGTATCGTTGTGATGTGTAAAAAATAAGATTTAAAAGTATAATTTATACAATTATTAAATAAAATTAAGGCCAAACATGTGAAATATTATTTATTATTTAAAGTTTTTATTTATAAGTGAAATATTTAAACATCGTTTATTGTAATAAAACAAGACCAACGTAATACGCCCAAAGTTTTGTAAATGGTATAAATATAAATAGGTACTTAAATGATGGCAAAAATAAAAGACTTACATTATATTTTTAGGGCCACAAACAAAAGGAATTGTCTAATTAAAACACATATAACAAATTATAGTTTGAAAAACGTTTTGATAATCATTTATTTGATAATATTATGATTGGCGCTATGACAACGTTAATATTTTTTGAGAATTTGACAATAATATGACAATGGCGTTGGAAACTATGGAAACTACAAAAAAATTCTGATTTAACGCCATCTGGCAATAACTAGTAGCAACTTCTTAACCTAAAAATTAATTGCACTACCACCTAGTGACTAGGGCTGGAACTATTTTATTTGAGATTTCCGTGGAAACGGTGGAACCGCTTTTGCATAGATAAATGCAACAAGTTTAGATTGGAAAGCCTGTAAAAATTTTAGGTCGCGAAATTATTTTGGGTCGCGACCGTTATACGCGATCTGGCGCTGCTATAGCGGTCGCTAAGAACAACGGCAAACAAAAACAGAAATAATATTCCCTTGTCAAAGTCAGAATCTTCAAAAATCATAATAATCTTTCAAAATCTAAACCGCTCTCATTAAAGAAATTCCGAAAAGTGTCTATAGCGTCCATTCTCAAAGTAGGTAATTATTGCTATTTTGTGAGTTTAATTCAAGTTTTGTTTACTCCAACCGGTGATAATTGTGAAAAAGTGGCATTAAAAACTTAAAAAGCTGTGCTGAGAACTGTGAACTGCAAAAACCATCGTGGATCGTGGCATAACGTCGGTTTCCAATGTTTCATAGGTATTTCATACATGCGTCCTTACATAAAATAAAGTTTCTTGTATGCAACACACTGTATTTTATTTATAAAATTAAACGAAAATAATAATAAATTTGAATAAACAATATTTGGCGATATAATTCCGGAATAAGCCGAACCTCTCCGAAATTTTCAAAAGTTTTGGGTCGCGACCGTTGCAAGAATAGCGCCAAATAGTGTTTACATTGTCCTTATGGGCACTTTCCAATCTAAACTTGTTTCATTTATCTATGCGCTTTTGCTATTTCACTTTCCCGCCCCAGCGTTATACGTCTTTGGTCGTGCTTTAGCTGTCTATTATTACGTATTGCGAGATACGTATAAATCCTGTGCCGTAACTGTCTAATGTCTTTGATCAGCTAATTTCATCTGATCGAAACATTATGTAGGTAACTGCCTCAGTCTCGTCATAAAAAAAACCCTAGGTAACTACAACATAGTACGTAAAGTACAAAAATATATTAAAATTTTATTAAATTTGTATCCTGTATTAGCAGAATTTTAAGCTACCCAAAACGCTTACCCTCTAATCTTTATTAGACCTTCCCTCTCATTCCATCCTTTACTCCCCTATGCTGTCTCGTTTCTCTTTTTACTATGGGGAGGGTTTCTTCATCGACCCTCCGGTCGTAACCGGTCTTTATGAAAGCCAAAGACACACAACCATTACTTTTTCGATTTATATGTTTGATTTTTGTTAAATTAATACGTGACTATAGTAAAAATATCATGATTCTTTACTACTCACTTATTATTATTTATAGATTTTTTTAATATTTATAAAAAAAATTACTAGCTGACCCGGTAAACTTTGTTTTGACATATAAATTATTCCTATGATTATGCCTGGTGGGGATAACTGATCAAGTAATAATTGAACCGGGGTTCAAAATTATTGAATTACTAATATCGCGCTATTAAAAAATAGGGGTTGATGGTAGAAGGGTGAAAATTTAGGGTTGTATGTATTTTCTAATGCCACATCATAAAGAATAAAAATAAAAAATTTTGTCCTAAAATAAAAAAATGGGTTGGACCACCCTTATCACTTAGGGGTGTAAAAAATAGATAACAATCTATTCTCAGACTTAGTGAATATACATGCATATAAAATTTCATAAAAATCGGTCAAGCCGTTTCGGAGGATTTTGGTCACTAAAACTGTGACACTAGATTTTTTTATTTTATTCCGTTAAGCAAAATTCTCAAGTTTTTTATTTTAGGAGCT